GTTTAACAAACTTCCTTAGTCGAAACGTAAAATCTATCTTTTCTGCTACATTCCAGAAATACGGATGATCAATAAAGAATTCCAGTGGAATGGACCTGTGAACACAAAAGGAACATATAATTAAAAAAATACGGATTTCAAACCTACAAAGAGAAAAAAAAAATCTTCTTTATGACAAATATACAACAAAAAAAGAGTGTAAATTAAACACTTACAAATCAAGAGTACTTAGTTGGAAAAAATGTTCCAAATCATGAGGGAGAAAAGACAAATCACTCTGGTGAGGAATAGGGAGTTTGATCACACTCTTTATCAAATCAACCAATGCTATCAAGTCTTGTTTTTGTTTCGCCGTTTCCATAGATGGAAGAATTCGACCTTCTCCTTCAGAAGTGACAAAGGCACTAAACACCAGATGGCCACATGATTTACCGCTCATGAACAAGTGCATAAGCCCCCGAATCACACCTCTATATTTTTGGGAAAACAACATATACATTACTAACATTACTCCCTCGGTTTGTTTAACGGTGAAGCTTTAACTAATACTAAGTAATATTTTTAATTATCAATAAGTAATATGTTAAACAAAATTGACACAGACAATTATAACAAATTCTCATAACTATGCTTTATCTTATTTATAAAAGTACAAACATTGGTTAAAGTAATGTATGTAAATAATGCAAAAGTTAATTTAGGATACTTAAAGAAAACTTAGGGAGCATAAACTATAATTTAGGGCTGTTCTAATTTGATATGGAAAATTTCTTGAACTTGTTGTGAACTATAATCAATTCATAGTCGAAGGACATTAATATAACTAAAAGATATATGATTGGAACATAGCAAAATCTAAGTGATCATCCATCTCAAAGGTGTCCTGATGATTAAAAAACAAAACACTTGCAATTGACATGAGACATTTTTTTGTACAGTGAAAGGAGAACTTTTAATATCTCGAAACATACAAGTATTATTTGACGTCTTATTCTTTTGAGTTGAATTAAAATGGACTAAACTAAAACAAGTCTAAAGGAAAAGAGTCTTTTTACTTTTAACCTTTTAGCTAAGTGAAAAAAATCAATCCTATAACATATATTAGTACTAGGTTACAAAACAGTACAGACTACTTGTTCTATTCAATTTATTCTTAACTTACTGTATTTTTCAAAAGTTTCAATTCCTTAAAAAAAAAAAAAAAAAAAAAAAAAAAAAAAAATCGGTTGTCAAGCACTATTTTTGCTTACTCTACCAGCAAGGCCTACGTGAAAACAAATCAATAATTTACAAAGCAAGTAACTAAAGGTAAATATTCAGATTACATTTTCAAGTCCAATCTAATATTTGATCTTACTTTTTACTACAAGTACTGTTTAGTAAATCTATTCATGCAAAAAAAAAATATATATATATTGACAAATTTGCACCTAATTTAAGACTTAAAAATTAACAAGATATCTATATGCTACAATGTTAGTTAATAATTGGTAATTTTAATACTTTATTTTTAAGGAGAAAATTATTTGGAATTGTGTGAGATTTAGTAGAGATTCTCTTAGCCCACGAATACAAGTTTAATTAGTGACGGTAAACAAATTATTTCTAAAAACCAACGCAATATCTCTAAGATAGACAACATAAACCTTTAAAAAAAAATCCACCTGAACACTTTCCAGAACACATCTTTGATAGCATCCCACCAAGCTTCAACTGATTCTTGTGATTGCGGAGGTAATTCGCTCAACTTACGCTTAAAAAAACATTCAATGCTGCACACTTCTTCACTTGTCAAAAGCATACGCCTATCATCCTCCACAATCTTAAAGCTTTGATCAATCTTCAGGAAGTTCTGATGAGTAAGACATAACTGAACGAGTTCTTGAATATTATCAATATGAGATTGCTCGGCTTCAACAAAAGATTTTCTGACTTCTTTTAATCTTTGTAGACCCCATACAAGATTTTTCATCTAGCTCCTCCATGGTAACATAAAGAGTCATCTCAAACTGCAAATAAAATAAAATTGTTAAAGCATTGGTAAGAAAGAACAAAAATAATTGTTCATGTTACCGTTCCAATTAAAAAGGGGGGGAAATAATCGATGATGGAGTGAATAGTATGGTCAGAAAGAGTGAAATGCATGTTTGATAACTAGAACAGTTCGTGCAAACAAGAGCACCCGAGGTGAGATTGCGTCAATTCCCTTTATTTTTTATTCTTTTTAGGCAAACGAAAACTAAAACAATTAGATTTCAATTCTATTCAAGGTTAAGCATAGGCTCCATACTGGTTACAAAACTGCCTTTATAGAATAGAAAGGCAGGGAAGGGGTTTTAAAGTTTCAAAGTAAGCAACTAATAATAATGGGTTGTAAGCGTCGACTTCATTTTTAAATTTATGTATTTTAATTCAGCAATTAATTAAGAACCAAAAACTATTTACTTGTACTTATCGCGATGAATTATAAAAATTAGTTGATAATGTTACTCGTAAATAACTATTTAAAATATCAATTACATACTTTAATCACAATTCATTATGTTAAAATATAGGTCCTCGATCGTAGGGGATGGAGGAGGAAAATCTATGTGAATGACCACACGAAATGATGGATTTTGGTTCATATAGCCGACCCTAATTTTTTCTTTTGATTGATTGATTGAATTACGGTACTCCGTGACTAGTAACAACAATAATAATTGATTAAATATCACATGATATTATTATGTTGAAAATTATGTATGAATTATAATTTTAAAAACAGAAAAATAAAATGAAGTAAATAATAACATGAATCTTTTTCATTGGGTGCATTGTTAAGGAGAAGAAATGAAAAAGGTTTGCTTAGGAAATGTGAATCAGAGAGAAAACATGAACCATTTATGTTGGGAGGAAGTTCTACATGCCTTGTGTCTCGGGAATTATATGTGGTGGCCTTGTCACTATTGAATTCTCCATTATAACTCTAATAAAGTTTAGAATATTCCTCCACATGTGACCAACTAAAGATTTATGTTGCTGAGTTTTAATTTATAACCTTGGAATGCAAACCAAAATCGCAAATAACAGGTAATGTAGTTAATTTGTTTGAGGAAAAAATGACCAAATCGCCTTGTATTTTGTGTTATAAAACATCTCATTTGTATACCAATAATACTTTCTCAGTATAGGGTAATGGGGGTCTGCGTGACACTTGAAGGCTTGTTTTGACGTCAAAATTGTAAAAAAATGATATTTTACGTGTTAAGAAACAACTCAGCTTGCGTGCTAGAGTTTTAAATTCAAACATGATATAAAAAAACCCGTTAGTTGGTCACATCGAAAAATAATTCCAAACTTTAGGGCTACAACGGAGAATTCAATTAGTGACAAGGCCACCACGTGGAGTTTCCCAATACATAGGGCCCACAATGAGTTTTGCTTTTTTTTTTTTTTATTTACTCATTGTTAGTAATGCTCTTACAAACATGTTTGTTCTAAGTTCTAACTAGTTTTATTTTCATAATATAATAGATTGCAAAATAACAGGATCTTACCATCCGCGATCTTCTTTCCTCGACCAATTTTGATCCGCTTTCCTTCTCTTCTTTTTGTTCCTCCAAAACCATTCCATCCGACTCATCTTCTACCTCCACGGCTTTCTTGACCACTAAGATTTGTTTTCCTTTGCTCTTTCCTTTTTTCTTAGCTTTTCTCTTTGGCTCCACAACGGTCCTCGCATCCTCCTCAGCCAAAAGTTTTTTGGCTATTTTTATAATCACAAACTAAACAAGATTAGTAATCTAGAAAATTTTTCGATATTGTCCACTTAATTTATATTAAAAAAAAAAACGCTAGATGTATCTAGAGGCGGGATTTAATTAATCAATTCAGTTGTTGGTCGAACTAAACACAAAAATCACTTGACTCATATTAAGTTGAATTCAGTTCTTTTCTCAACCAGAATTGTTTCAGTTCCAATATTTCGGGTTTATTTTCAGAGCACCACTATTAATTATCATTCCAATTCACTACAGTTGAATTAGTTTTTGGTTTCAACCATATGGTTTCCGATCAAACAATTCACCATATCATTACTTAATAGTTTGGTCGGTAATTAGAATCAACAATAATGAAAAGGCGTATAATGATCAAAGTTAGAGTTGGCAATCGAATTAATTGGACCGGATTCAAGCCAGACCCTTAAATCTAGTACATTAGTGATTGATTTAATTCTAGGTCATATACCTTGAAATCAGTTGTATTCGAAAGCACTTTTAGGAGTCTAAAAATATAATCTGCCATAGAGCACATGACAATGTCATCTTGCGTAGATGCATAATGGTGCATGGTGATAATCGAAAAAATCAAGGGTTGTTCAAGTTTCTAGTTGAGTTAGAGACGAATATGAGATGGACTAGTGACTACACATCATTACTTTTATCATATGCGATAATGTCTAAAATTAGAGTGAAAATGTAGGTTACAATTTTCACTCTAACTTCAAGTAGTCTTCTATTCCTATTAGGCCATAATTTATTAATCCTATGGTCATTTGACTTATAGCCTCCACTACTCGGAGAACAGACTAAAATTAGGTGGGAAATTTCCTCCTAACTTCTACTAGTCAAATTTATTTTTTATTCATTTCCTCCTTTCCCCCATAATTGTATTAGAGTTAAAAATTTAGATTGGAATTTTCCCTCCTTATTATAGGTTTGTACTTTTACAAATTAAACCAAAGAAAGAAAGGGCACTTGCAAATAATAAAATCTGGAATTCTTAGTTCTCATTTCTCAAAGCCTAAAGTCCTAGACCAAAGAAATATCATACCAGTATATCCTCTTATTCCTCTAGCTCTCACTCACTGAACTTCTGAAATCTCAAAGAGGAAATCTCTAAGTATGATTTTTCATTACAATATCAACTTCTCAATTCTCAATTTAAATATTGCTAATTTTCGTGAAGTAATAAGGTGACAATTTTTGTGAAGTATTTAAATTACAAATTTACAATTCTAAATGACAAATTTACAATTCATATTCAATTCAATTTAATCACTTTGAAACATTGTTGATTAATTTCTTTTAGTTTAAGTTCACATTACCATTTCTTTCGGCTTTCTCCGCTTCTTGTTGTTGAACAAGCAACTGCGTTGCTTCTTGTGCCGCACTTTGTATATCATCCTGTATTTCTGGTACAGCTTCATGCGGTGCAAGCTCTCTTTCATCCTTCATTCTTTTTACCTTATCAAGCATGTTTTGAATCTTTTCCACCAAAGATTGCTTTCTATTACCTTCAGCCAAATCCAATCCTTTAGTAAAGTAAGGAATTGACTCCTGCAGCTTTCCTGAATCCATCATACTAGTCCTATAGCAAAAAAAAAATTACAAAACACATCAGATGATAAGCCATTATTCCTTGTGCTCATGAGCTTTAAATCCAAGGTTTATAGAAATTTTAACTAATGAAACAAAAACAAAGTCCTTGGCTTGGGCTAATATCATAATTAGAATAGTAGAAAGAATGAGAAAAACAAATCTTACCCCATGATATATGCTGTTTCTGCATATGCAAATAGTTTTTTGACTTTCCACTCCCGAGCAATCTTCCAAAACTCTATAAAATTAAATTAAATTTCAACACCAACAACAACAATAACAAAAGGTAGATCAATGATAAAATAAACTCACCTTCCATATTCCCTTGATTATGATGAACTCGCATCTGTAGCTCTAAGAAAGGAAATTTGTATTCAGCCGGACATGTTGTAGTAGTCAATGACAAGGCGGCTTGTACCAAATTATAAGAGATGAGGTTATCTACCACATACTCTAATCTATCCTCTCTTCGTACAGGTACGTCCAAATTAGGAAACACAGAAGTAAAGATATTGAAAATCGTATCAACATCAACGTGCACAGCGCCACGTCCACAGAGGTACCTTCCAAACATTTTACTAGACGTTTGGCTACTAGCTCTAGAGCATCAGCAGGCCTCTTTTTCTTCTTGTAACTTGTAAGACCCCTTTCGAAAAGTTTATATTTTGATGAAGAATCCATTTTAAAAACAGCAGTGGCGTATCCTGTTCGAATTCAATACATTAGTTCAAATTCAGATCACAGCGGATAATTCATAATTTAACACAACGGATTACACATAGAAAAATGAAAATTCATATTGAGAGGAATGCGTGTTATGGATCCACTTGGTGGTACGGTCCAGCCCATAAAAGTGTACACAAGGAGGCCCAAACCAAAGGGGCACAACAACGGTCAGCTAGGAGGGTCAATGATGAGGACAACAAGTTGAGTCAATCTCAACAAAGAAGAAGGGACAAAACTCATTAAGAGAGTATTAGGGAAAGCAAGCAACTAGTTTCATTTATGTCTAAGTATGGTTTTGCTATTTTAGTGTTAAGAGTCACATGTGTTATCTTAAGTTGTTCTTGTGTCTTAGAAAGCTTAGTATAAGTAAGTGTGGAATGTATTAGTCAACTATCCAGAAATTGTGTTAGAAACATTTGAGAGTAGTGGCCTAAAGCTACCATGAGATTGATAGCCTCAAGCGATTAGTTATCCCTTGTAACCTTTGTTTAGTCCAATTAATCAATCAAGTAATCAAGCTTTCCCCTTAATCTTGCCATTAATTAGTCTAATCTTGCTGTGAGAAACCCGATCTCTTACAACTTGGTATCAAAGCGAGTCGATCATGGTGATGACCCTAATGCAGCGGGTAGACGCGGTGGATGGGAAAATCGAGGAAGTCAAGTCCAGGCTAACCACGATTGAAGAGAAGCTAAATAATCAAGAGGTTGCCATTGGTCGTGCAGTAGCAGAGGCAATGAATCGAACCATGGCCGACGACTAGAAAGCCATGACTAAGTAGTTCACGGCGTTGTTCGAGGCGGAGAGAGAGAAGTAGAAGGAAGGGTGGTGAGGCTATAAGGGAGAATCAACCGTTTCCAGAACGACCAAGAAGTTCGGGCAAACATGGTGGCAAATGAGAATGATAAGTTCAGAGAAGAGATGAGGACCTCGGGGGTGGATCGACGCGGAGCAGTTTAACGGCGGCAAAAATGGTCGTTGGAAGCACAAGAAACTCGACATGCCCACCTTCAAAGGGAAAGACCCCGATAATTGGGTCATGAGAGCGAAAATGAACTTTGATTTTTTGCAGTCTCTTGGAGGAGGATAAGGTGACGGCGGCGGTGGTCACCATGGACGGAGTCGCGCTACAATGGTATCATTGGGAGAATAGGCGAAAGCCGGTGACGGGGTGGGCAGACATACGGACTAGGGTCTTGAAGGAGGCACCCTCCAAGAGCAGTGGCTTGCGATTACCCATACGGCGTCGATTGAATAATATAGGAGTAAGTTCATTAAGTTAGCATTTCCTTTAGAAGATATTCCAGAAGATCTAATGAGGGGGCAATTTATAAATGGCCTAAAAGAGGAAATTAAGGCTGAATTGAGGCTTTTGGATCCGGGTTCGTTAGAACGGGCCATGAATCATGCCGGGGGATCGAGGAAAAAATGGGTTCGGATATTGGCGGGGTGGATCGAGTTAGTCCGAGTGTAGGAGGAAGTAAGGTGGCAGGAGGCCTGATCCAAACTTATGGGTTGCCCACCAATACGAGGCCTGCAAGAACGTGGCCTAAGCTACTAGAATCACAAGGATCGGTAAATTTGGGTCGGCCCAATGCAAGCCAGCCCTCCTAATCAATTGCTAAACCCAAAAGGTTAACTGAATTTGAAGTGGCAGAACGTAGAGCTAAAGGTCTATGTTTTCGATTTGATGAGACGTGGGGTGTATGGCATAGGTACAAGCGTAAGGAACTTAGTGTGTTGATGGAAGCCAAGGAACCCGAGGAGATGGTGGACGATGGTGTGGAAAGTGTAGAGGAGGAGGAGACCGTGGAGATATCCTTGTGTTCGATGGTGGGTATTTCAAACCCAAAAACCATGAAACAAAAGGGGTCATTCGTGGGAAGGAGTTGATTGTCATGGTGGATCCCGGGGCAACACACAACTTTGTGTCTCTTTCGGTAGTAGATGAGTTCGGTTTGCCAAGAGAGGAAGGATGGGAGTTTGGAGTGGCATTGGGTGATGGTGAAACCGTAAGAGGCCATAGGATTTGCCGAGGTGTGAAGCTTTGTTTGAAGGGTGGTGTGACATTGGTGGAAGACTTTCTACCCTTAGGGGCTTGGAAATGCCGACATTATTCTCAGGGTACAATAGTTGGAGAAGCTTGGTGCGGTCACTACTAATTTAAGACTAACGTGATGAAATTCACCATTGCCGGCATACCGTTGACATTAGTAGGCGACTTCTCCCTAGAGAAAACACAAATTTCCCTTAAAGCCATGATTAAGGGGTTGTGCAAGAACAAGGGTTGGTTGTTAGTGGAGGTCTAACCACATTGAAGCGGAGGTGATGCCGCAAGGGGGCAGGAAGGTGCCGGATTTTTTGGAGGGAGTAGTAAAGGAGTATGGGCTTCTAAGTATGTTGGGCTTCTAAGAAGGAACACATTAAAAAGATGGGGTTAAGGAGTAGTTGAGTAGTAGAATGTTAGGGCTTCTAATAAGGAACACATTAAAAAGATGGAGGTTACGGAAATGCGCATGTTAAGGTTGATGTGTGGGAACACTCTAAGAGATAGAATTAGAAATAAGGTTATTCGCAAGAAAGTAGGTGTGGCAGGCATTGCAGAAAAACTAAAAGAAATTTTTATACACTGGTTAGGCCATGTAAGACGGAGACCCGAGGATACACCGGTTCAAAGAGTGGGACCATAGAGGGGTTAAATGAGGGAGAGGGAGACCGAAAATAACATGGTTGAAAGGAGTTAGGAAAGATATGGATTTGCAAGAGAATGAAGCATTGGATCGTAAGGGATGGAGGAGGAAGATTCATATCGATGACTACACGGAATAATTAAATTTGGTTCATGTTAGCCGACCTACTTTGGGATTAAGGCTATGATTGATTGATTGAGTAGAGGAGTATGGGGCGATTTTCAAGATGCCCGGAGGGTTGTCATCTAATAGGGGGCACGAGCATGCAATTACACTCAAGGGTTGTCGTGAGTGTTCATCCCTATAGATATCCACAAGTCCAAAAGGATGAGATTGAAAGGCTCATCCAAGAGATGTTGGATGCGAGTTCCATTCGGCCTTCGACTAGCCCATTTAGTAGCCCGGTGCTACTTGTGAAGAAGGACGGATCTTTGCGGTTTTGTGTAGATTACCGGGCGCTTAACTAAGAGACGGTGCCCGATAAATATCCCATTCCGATCATTAACGAGCTGCTTGATGAGTTGCATGCCATTTTCTCATAGTTGGACTTAAAGTCCGACTACCATCAAATTCGAAGACATTCACAAGATGGTGTTCTGTACTCATGAGGGTCACTATGAGTTTTTAGTGATGCCTTTTGGGTTAAGTAGCGCCCCGGCCACTTTCCAATCCCTCATGAACGATGTGTTCAAGCCATACTTGAGGAAGTTTGTGTAGGTTTTCTTTGATGATATTTTTATCTATAGTAGAGATGATGAGGAGCATGTGAGATTAGTGTTGAGCAAGCTAACCGAGCTAGTCTGTATGCCAATAAGAAAAAGTGTGAGTTCGGGTGTATGAAGGTAGCCTACCTTGGTCTCATCCCTACTGTAGATCAAAATATCATTAACGAAAACCAACACAAACTTCCTCAAGTATGGCTTGAACACATCGTTCATGAGGGATTGGAAAGTGGCCGAGGCACTTGTTAACCCAAAAGGCATCACTAAAAACTCGAAGTGACCCTTATGAGTACGGAACGTCGTTTTGTGAATGTCTTCGGGTTTTACCTGAATTTGATCGTAGACGGACTTCATGTCCAACTATGAGAAAATGGTAGCTCCATATAACTCATCAAATAGCTCGTCAATGACCAGAATGGGATATTTATGGGGCATCGTCTCTTTGTTTAGTGCTCGGTAATCTACACAAAACCGCAAGACCTGTCCTACTTCACAAGTAGCACCGGGCTACTAAATAGGCTAGTTAAAGGCCGAATGATACCGGCCATCCAACATCTCTCGTTTGAGCCTTTCAATCTCATCCTTTTGGACTTGTGGAAATCTATAGGGACGAACACTCACGGGGTTGCTACCTCCCTCGTGTGTAATTGCATGCTCGTGACCCCTATTAGGTGGCAACCCTCCGCGCATCTCGAAAACCATCCATACTCCTCTAATACTCCCTCCAAAAAATCCAGCACCATGTTGCCTCTTGCGGCATTACCTCCGCTTCAATGTGGTTGATCTCCACCAACAGCCATCCCTTGTTCTTGCATAACCCCTTAATCATGGCTTTAAGGGAAATTTGTGTTTTCTCTAAGGAGGGGTCGCCTACTAATGTCACCGGTATGCCGGCAATGGTGAATTTCATTAGTGAGTCTTCCAATTAGTAGTGACCGCACCAAGCTTCTCCAACCATTATACCCCGAGAAGAATGTCGGCATTTCCAAGCCCCAAGGGTAGAAAGTCTTCCACCAATGTCACACCACCCTTCAAACAAAGCTTCACACCTGAGCAACTCCCGTGGCCTCTCACGGTTTCACCATTACCCAACGCCACTCCGAACTGCCCTATCCAAAGGGGTTGGCTCGGTGTTAGACTGCTAGTGGTGGTTGACCGTCTATTAAAAATATAGCCACTTTATTGGATTAAAGCATCCTTTAACGCCTTGAAAGTGGCGGATTGCTTTGTGAAGGAGGTGGTTCGATTGCACGGTTTTCCGGCGACGATAGTGACCAAACGAGCAAGGTGTTCATGAGCATTTTGTGGCGAGAATTGTTCCGATTGCAAGGAACCCACCTCAAGAGAAGCACCGCCTATCATCTGCAATCAGACGGTCTGTAATGCACCAACCAAGGCCACCCATTGTGTACACATACAGCAGGAGGAGACAGCAGCAGAGGGGCGTTCACAACACACAACAGCAGTAAGCAACAGAACAGTAAGGCTACATGACATCCTTGTATGTATTAGCATTATTTTGACAGCTTATGGACGAGGACAAAGTAGTGGTTGTAGCAATTAAGG